TATATATATATCCATAAATTTTCTTCATATTTCTGTAGTCACTTAGGTTATTTCCATGTTTTCAGTCTTCTAAATAATGCTGCAGTGAACATGGGAGTGCAAAACACTCTTCAAAACAGTGGTTTCCTTTCCTTTAGATACATACCCAGAAGTTGATTGCTGGATCATATGGTAGTTTTATTTTTAATACTTTTGAAGAAACTGTACTCTTTCCCGTAGTGGCTGTACCAGTTTACCAACTGTGTTTTAGGATTCCCTTTCTCCACATCGTTGTAGGCACTTACTAACGCTTGTATTTTTGATAATAGCTATTCTGACAGATGATATCTCACTGTGGCTTTGATTCGTATTTCCCTGATAGCTAATGATATTGAGCACCATTTCATGCACCTGCTGGCCATTTAAAAATCATATAAAATGAGACTTTTATGCGAAAAAGTGACTTTTCAGGTCCTTTGTGCACTTTTAAGTTGGGATTGCCTTGGGTAAGATGAGCATTTTGACTATGTTAATTCTTCGAATCCATGAGCCTGGAATATCTTTCCATTTCTTTGTGCCGCCTTCTGTTTCTTTTTACAGTGTTGTAGTTTTCATTGTAGAGACCCTTCATCTTTGTTAAGTTTACTCCCAGGTATGTCATTTATTTCAGTGTGGTTGTGAATGGATCATGTTCTTAATTTCTTCCTCTTCTGGCTCATTGTTTGGATATAGGAGGGCAACTGGTTTTGTATTTTGATTTTTATGACCTGCCACTTTGTAGGATAGGTATTAGTTCATCTCTGAAGGTTTGGTAGAACTCTCTTGTGAAGCCATCTGGTCCTGTATATTGGGGTGGGGGGCAGTTTTGATTACTGTTTCAATATCCTCACTTGGGATCGGTCTGTTCAGGTTTTCTACTTCTTTGTTCAGCCTTTGGTGATTGTACATTTCTAAGAATTTGTCCACCTCATCTAGATTGTTGAACTTGTTTGCATATAAATATTTATTGTAATCTCTAATTCTGAATTTCTCTGTTACAATTTCTCTGCTTTCATTTATGATCCTATTTATTTGAATTTTCTCCATTTTCCTTGTGATCTTTTTTTCTCATAGCAAGAGGTTTGTCAATTTTTAAATTTTTTTTCAGAGAACCAGCTTTTGGTTTCATTGATCTTTTGGGCTGTTTGTTTATTTCTATTTAATTCAGTTCTGTTCTAATTTTTATTATTTCTTTTCTTATGCTGGCTCTTGTTTTATTTGTTCTTTTTCTAGTTCATTGAGGTGAGGAATGAGGTTAATTGTTTGAACTCTTTCTTGTGCACCTGTTTTGCTAAGTCCCTCTTGGTACTTACTGTCTTTGCTGTGTCCCATAATTCTGGAAGGTTGTGTCTTCATTGTCATTTGTCTTGAGGTTTGGTTTTTTTAAAATTTCTTCTTTGAGATGTAGTATCTATACACAATAGAATACTATTCAACAATCAGAAAAGATAAACTCATGCTATTCACAGCAACATGGACGGAGCTTGAAGGGATCATGCTCAGTGAAATAAGCCAGACGGAAAAAGAAAAATATTGAATGAGGAATATAGGGGAACCAAATAAGGGATCAGGAAAAAAAACCAATAATAATAATACAACAAAACTAGCAGGCAACCAGAAATAAGAGACATTCTGCAAGGGAGGAGGAGGAAAAAAGATCAAAACAGGGGAGAGAAGAGCACAAGGGACTATGGTGATGGTTCACAGGTGAACTGGGGGTGGGTACTCTATGGGGAATACACAATGATGTAAAAGATATAAATAAATATAAAACATAGATGAGATAATAACAAATATTCTTCTCATTAACCTAGTAGTGTTTTAAGTAGTGTGTTTAATCTCCATGTCTTAGGGAATTTGTTTTCTTTTTTCTAGTTTTTCTAGTTTGGTATTTTTATGGTCAGAGAAAATGCTCAATATGATTTCAGTCTTCATGAGTTTGTTGAGGCTCATAACCTAATATGTGGTCAGTCCTGGAGAATGTGTTACTGAGAAAAATGTGTATTCTGCTTTTTTGAAGTGCAGTGCCTTATAGATGTCTGTTGGGCCTATATGGTCTAATTCTTTGTTTAAGGATATTGTGTCCCCATTTATTTTCTGTCTTCTTGTTCTGTCCGTTGGTGAGAGTGGGATGTTGAAGTTTTCTACCTCAAATGTGTTTTCTCTGATGTTTTCAGAGTTGATAGCAGTTGCCTAATATATTTTGGTGCTCCTTCGTTTGGTGCATATTTTGTTGATGAGTGTTACATCTTCCTGATGTATTGTTCCCTTTGTCATTACATAGTGTCTGCCCCTGTCTCTCTTGTTACCTTTTTTGGCTGGAAATCTATTTTATCTGATCTAAGTATGACTGTTCCTATCTTCCTTTGGGTTAAATTTGCTTGTGGAAGCAACTATAAACCAGAGATATACTACGGGGGAGAGGAGGGATTAGGGTCAAAATAAGGGGGTGGGAATTGTATGGGGAATATAACCAAGATGAAAATGCATACATTGTGCAAAAATGAAAAATGATGTTAAAAATATATAAATAAAAGAAAAAGAATCTTAAGGTAAAAAAAATAAAAAACGAATAATAAAAGAAAATAAATTTGCTTGTGGAATTGCTTTCCAGCCCTTTGTTTTGAGTCTGTGTATACCTTTGGTGCTCAGGTGCATCTCCTAGAGACAGCAAATAGTTGGATTTTATGTACTGATCCAACCAGAAACTCTCTTTTAATTGGTGAATTTAGGCCATTTACATTTAGAGTTAATGTTGAGATATGAAAGTCTTTTATTGTCATTTTGTCTTTAATTTTCCCTCTACTCCAGCAGTGAGGATTTGGGTATCACCCAGAATCGTTGTCTTCCTTATTTATATTTTCAAGGCATAGGATGGGGAGGTTACCTTAAGGGGAGAAGGAAGAAGGTAGTGAATGGGAAATAACGCTGGGATACTTTTAGTATCTGGTAATGTTCTCTTTCTTCTCTTGGTTGGTGATTATTCATTTTATCATTCATTGAGCTGCACTTTTGTGTTCTAAACACTTTTGGAGGCATATATTATGTTTCTAAAACAAAGCCAAATTGTCATGTTAACATATTGCCTCCCAAAGAATTGGTTGACTAAACTCTAGACTGGAAAGCTGTGGTTCACCCCTGTTTACCCTTGTGGCTTTAAGTAGTCACAAAACATACAAAACATTCCATTTAAACTATAGCAGGGAGAGTGTCACACATATAACTATATTCCTAATAATGGGAAAGAGGCAGAATACAACCATTGAAGGAAATAGTGCAAGACTTAACATACCCCTCTTGAAACCTAGAACATTACTCAATTCTTAAGTTTGAAATTATTTTTTTTCTTTAAAGATTTCTTTAAATTTTAAAGATTTATCTATTTATGCATATAAGAACTGGGGTACAGGCCAGAGGTGCAGTGGTGAAAGGATTCACCAGAGACAGAGTAGGGAACAGAGCAGGCAGATTGACTGAAATACACTGAGGGGAGCAAGGGGCAAAGCAGGAGAGGTCTGCTGCGCCATGTGGGGTTAGCTCCCTGGTTGGGGATCTGACTAGTGCTGCAGTGGCTGTGAACAGCTTCATAGTGCTGCAACTTAACCCCTTGTGCCACCAAGGAGGCCCTTAAATTTGAAATTTAAAATGAATTAGAGAGACTTAATGAAAATCTTGAATTTTAACATCTCATTAAAATTCTGAGCCCCAGATAGGAAACTAAGAATACTATTTCTCATAGAATGCAATAACCATATAAAAATATACAATATTGGGTTAGGTATGTGCTAATTATTACTATTTTTTTAAAGATTTATTTATTTATACAAGCACTGGGTACAGTAAGAAGCGCGGGAGGGTGAGAGAATTCACCAGAGCCAGAGCGGGGAGCAGAGCAGGCAGAAGGACCGAAGTACACTGCTGAGGGGAGCAGCGGGCGGCAGGAGAGGTCTGCGCGCCATGTGGGACCCTCCTCTGGTGCCCAGGGAGCAGCCGGGGATCGAACCGGCACTGCAGAAGCTGCGGGCAGCTTCGCAACCCAGCGCTCAACCGCTGTGCCACCGGGGAGGCCCTGTGCTAATTATTTTGAGATTGTGCATTAAGGTGAATCTGGTTTCATCTTACTTACACAAGAATGTTTATCTTACAGTGTTTGTTAATGATAATAAACCCACCTTTAGAGTCTGGTCCTTAAAACCCAAATCCTACTTGATAATTATCTGTCATGTCCGCCCTAACATTTTGATTTAATTACTTCAACTCTCTACCACAACTACAGGCCAAATCTAACAAGATAAGATAGACATGGAGATAAATCCAAGGTCTTATATTTAGGTTGTGATAAAGATAGCAAAAGTACCATTTACGAACATAAGTTGTAAAGTTTCAGGAGGTCTTACTGCTAATCACATTGAACTCATCAATTGGACTACCCCCTCAAAAGGTAAATGTCATTGTAGGCTGCACTACTGCAACTAACAGGAAATAATTAGACTACACCAAGAGTATGGTCAGTTTTGGGCACCATATTTTAAGAATGTCATTGACAAATTAGAGCTCATCCAATGGAATGTGCCAAGTTTTGAGGAATGCAGAATGGATTATATGGCTGAAGAAATTGGAACTCAGCAACCCTGCAAGGCGTTATCGCCATTTTATAGAGAGCAAATTGAGGCCCAAAGAAATTAATGACTTATTAATATATATAACTAAAATGTGGGTGGTTCAGGCCTCACATGTCTTGATACTTAAGCTGTTATTCTTTTGATTCAAAAACAATGGTTTTAATTACATGTTTTCCAAGCCTGGTTGTTAGTCCCTATGTGAAGAGAAACCTGAAACTATAAGAGAAAGATTACAGATTAAATGAAAAGAAAGAGGACATTTAACATAGGGAAGATCAATGTGAGAAAATAGTTTGTTATCATTATTACAAGTTTATAGCAGTGTGTTGTCTTAGACATATTTCTCTTTCTTTTTTCAAGGTTTTTGACTCCAGTGAAGAATCTGGGTATCTTGTTCTCACTATAGTTATATCAGGCCATTTCTTCATTTCACAAGGACAAACACTACTGGTAAGTTTGATGCATATAGCCTCATATGCAAACGTATTTATCTTTTGTAGCTTTGCATTAATTTTTGTATCCTTAGTCCTCTTCAGTCTCAGTAAAATTCATTAAGCTCAACAAACATTTATGGATATTCTATAACAGTGGGAAATACAAAAAACATTGACTATTGTGTGCACTAAAGAGATTTAGGGTCTTGTTGGAAGTCAGAGTAGATCAAAAGATTGAAGCTAACTAGTATTATAAAGGACTCTTAATTGGGATATTGGGTTGTAGACAGGCTAGATTTACAGAGAAATGTGTGTATGGGGTAGGGGTAGCCTAGTTAGGGTTGGATTCTGGATAGAGTAACCAGCATATGCAGAGAGATAAATTTAAGGAAATAGCTAAAAGGAAAGCTTGAGGCTTGCTATTGTAATTGAGATATCCCTGTATAAAACTCTAGTTTTATAAAGATGCATTTATTCTTTTTTTTTTTTTTAAATAGAGGCATGTTTTATTTGTTTGTTTGTTTGTTTTGTTTATACATGCACTGGGTACAGTCAGAAGCGCGGGAGGGTGAGAGAATTCACCAGAGCCAGAGCAGGGAGCAGAGCAGGCAGAAGGACCAAAGTACACTGCTGAGGGGAGCAGCAGGTGGCAGGAGAGGTCTGCGCGCCATGTGGGACCCTCCTCCGGTGGCCGGGGAGCAGCCGGGGATTGAACCGGCGCCGCAGAGGCCGCGGGCAGCCTCGCAACCCAGCGCTCTACCGCTGCACCACCGGGGAGGCCCAAGATGCATTTGTTCTTAATTTTGAATACACATGCACACTGTGGGAAGTTTTTGGAATGAAGAAATACATAAGCTTGTTGGAATTGGCTTTTAGATACAAAATAAAGAAGACAGTTATTAATTTGTACAATCAAAGCAATTGTATGAGAAAGTGTGATGAAAGTTTATTGTGTTTATCTGTGAATAATATCTACACAGACATAATAAATTTGTTACCAAAATATTCACTTAATATCTATGTGGGCATAATTCTGTCATTGAGCAATTACTTATGCAAGGCATTGTTGTAGGCACTAGGGATATTGCAGTGAATAGCAAAGACAAAAATCACTGTCATCATGGAGTATCATTCTAGTGGGAAAAAACAGCAATAAACGTAAGTCAAACATTAAAAAGACATGAATTTTTGGTGACTACCTCACATGTTCTAATATATGGCAATATCTCTCATATGTACATTATGATAATTTCTCCATTTAAGTGAAAGGTAGCCTTGTCCTTGAAATGTGAGGTGACTTGCAAAGTCATCTTTGTGTTCCTTGTGACTTTTAAAACTGCAGCATGTGTTGTACTGTTTTGCTTTATCTGCCACTGTTAGGACTGTATCCATTGCAAGAGATAAAGTTTCTTCTTCAGCTGCAAATGAAGACTATTCTAAGTGGTAGGCTGAGGAATGCCTGGCACACAGCTAGTTCTCCCTATCAATATTGTGGGTCTTTGCTAATGATGACATTAATGCAGTTTGGCTTCCTTGACATGGAGGGTCACTTCCTGCTTTGTCTCTGCTCTATTGTTTGCATCAGTAGTAAATGTTGTTACAAACTGGTAGAGGTTTCTTTGTATCACACATGGAATGACTTTTGCATTGCGGTTATAAAACCAAGACCCCCACTTCTGAGAAATAAAAGGTTATCTCTGCAATTCTCTGCATGTTGCATATACATATATAACTTAGACATTGGATAATGTTTTCTAAATTTCTCCAAAATCTTTTTAAAAATCACCTTTACTGAAGTATAATTTACATAAAATAAAATTTGCTTGTTTTAAATGTTCAGTTTCATGTCTTTTGATGATGTAATACAACCACCACCACAATCATGAGATAGAACATTTTGATTAACTCCCAACATTTCTTGTGCACCTTTGCAGTCAATCCCCTAGCACAATACTGATCTACTTTCTATTACCATAGTTTTGCCTTTTCTAGACTATCATATAAATGAAGTCATACAATATGTAGTCTTTTGTGTCTGACTTATTCCACTCATCATAATGCTTTTGAGATTCATCAATGGATGTTCATTCTTTTTCATTACTGAGTAGTATTCCATTGTATAAATTAGGATAAACCTAATTTGCTTGTCCATTCAGCTTTTTTTTTTTTTTAAGATTTATTTATTTATTTATACAAGCACTGGGTACAGTCAGAAGCATGGAAGGGTGAGAGAATTCACCAGAGCAGGGAGCAGAACAGGCAGAGGGACGCGGCAGGAGAGGTCTGCACGCCATGTGGGACCCTCGCTGGTGCCCGGGGATCGAACTGGCGCTGCAGAGGCTACGGGAAGCTTCGCAGCCTAGCGCTCAACTGCTGTGCCACCAGGGGAGGCCCCCATTCAGCTTTTGATAGACATTTGGATTGTTTCCATCTCTGGGCTATTATGAATGACTCTAATATAAACATTTATATATGAACCTTTGTAGAAACATTTATTTAATTTGGTAAATCCCCAAGAGATTCTGTAGGATTTTCTACACAGATGATCTGTTGTCTACAAATAGTTTCACATTCTTCCTTTCCAATCTATAAATCTTCCCTGTTCTTTCCCCTACTAGATTACACTAGGACTCCTTTGCAATGTTGAATAGAATTGGTGAGAGTTCACATTTTTGCCCTGTTCTTAACCTTAGGGGGAAAGATTCCATTTTTCCATCAGTAGGTATAATGTTACTGTAGGGATTTTGTAGATACCCATTACGAGATTGAGGGAATTCTATTCTAGTTTTCTGAGAGTTTAAATCATGCATAGGACTTGAATTTTGTTTAATGCTTTTTCTGCAGTTTCTTTTTTTGTTGTTGTTCTGTTAATGCAATTTTTAAGATACTCAGTTCTTACTGAATCAATTTTCATTGTAGAACTATTTGGTTTTTAAATTATGTACAGTATAAGTGTGATAAAAGAATACGTATTTTAAAAAACATTTTATCTCCTAAATTAAAGAACATTTTTTGTCAATCACACAATTTATTCACAGTATTTTCTGGGTTCCACAAGAACAGACACATTGCAATTTTATGTTGGTATTACATTTACATACCATCTCCCCTCATCTTAGTCTGGGTTGTGATATATTTTTAGATTTTTTTCCATAAAAGGTTGGGACAGGCAGGACAGCCATGGAAACTTTTAGCCACTTCCGTTTTTGTATGAGAATCCAATTGTTGGCATAGATTAAATGCTATATTTGTGCTATCATGTTTTTGTGGAAGCTGCATAACATAAAAAAGTTGTTTTTTGGTTGTTTTTTTTAAACTGACTGTGATGGCTTCCTCCCTGTTAATGTGTTTTTGTAGAAATCAAAAATCAACAAAGCTTTGGGCCTTTGTTTGGCCCTCAGCAGCTATTTAATTTTCATTAAACTTACAATTTGCTACCTCTTGTAAGGTCCATGGCAACTTAGTGATTCAGATTAAACTGAATGCTTAATGTCCAGTAATATCATAGGTTTCCATTTGGTGTGTTCATTTGGCACCTGCATTCAAATGAGACATCACTGCCCGAAGGCTCCATGAGGGCCACTATGGCCATTCATTCTTTTGGCACTTCTTTTTTTTTTTTTTTTTTTTTCATTCTTTTGGCACTTCTATCCAAGGTTTGGTGTAACAAGAAGGCAGGACTATCTTGACTCCAACCTCAGTCGATCTTGGATTTGGGCTTAATTTGTTTCCCCTCTGAGTCTTGGCATTTTGAACATACTTTCCTTAGCTATTTTGGGCTTGCACTGACTCGTGCATGCGCTCATTCTCTCTCTCTCAAATATGCTGCTGAAGTGAGCAGTGTGATTTTAAAATTTGTTTTTAATTGTGGTAAAATAATACAATAATTGGCATAGTTCATAGTTCAGTATTATTAAGGATATCCATATAGTTGAGCCACCATCACCACCCTCCATCTTCAGAATTCTTATCTTGCATATTTGAAGCTCTGTACCCACTAAACAATAACTCCCCATTCCTCCCTTCCTAGTGGTTGTTGCCAGAGGCTGGGTCTTTTTCCCTTCTCTCCTTCTTCACTTTTGGGAATGCACATTATCCTTAGGTTCCCTATTCTGGATGAGTCTGATAAACTTTAGACTAATTGAATCTCATAGAGTTTTTATTTTTCCTAAATTTTATTTCTCTTTTCTTCCACTTGGGTGGTTTGTACATTTGTGCCTTCAGTTTCCAAAATTTTCTCTTTGCCGGCTTGTCTTTTTAATAAGCTTTCCATATTTGTCCTCATCTTGTTCAACATCTTTTTGTCTTCTTTTAATATCTTCAGTCTCTTCAATGAAGAACTCTTTTTGTTCCTGGATCTCTTTTCTAAGACCTTGCATCTGTTTGTGTGTTTGATTGCCCTTTTAGTAACCTCACTTAGGTTTTTGTTTTGTCTCGTCATTTTAAAATCTTTGTTAGGTTCTCCAATTCTGTGTCCTTTATATAGGCCTCTGAACTTCTATCCTTTTTCTTAAGCTTTTCTATCTCTGTTCAAATGTTTCTTGTTTCCTAGGTATGTGTGTTACCTCATTTGCTTTTTTCTAGTTGGGGCACTGTGGATTTAGTTTTGTTTCTCTTTTTTTGTGTAACTTGGTGGCAAGTGAGGGAGGAAGGGATGGGTAGAGAGCCCAAACACTCCATCTCAGCCCTGCTGGAAATAAAGGCTGTTTCAGACAGAAAGATCAATTTTGCCTCCTCTCTTCTCCAGAGCAAGCTCCAGTTCACTGCTTCAGGGACCCTAAGTTCCCAGGCCCTGTCTCTTTGTTGCTCCCTTTTGCATCTTGGGGTACCTGCTGCCAGGCACAAACTGCCAGGTAAAGGCTATGAACAGGGATGCAGGTCCATGCAACACAGCAGGTTTCTCAGATCTCCCATCTGAGCGCGGGGGCCGGGGCCCCACCCTCTGTGATGCAGGTATCCAGGCTCTCCATGACCCAACCGGAATTCTCACACAATGTCCACCCCGGTCTTCACTAG